GAACAGAGTGCGTACCGAGCAGCAGGAGCTCCGCAACTCGAGATCCCTCGAGAGTTCACGCGGAGTCGGCTGGGGCTGTACCAGACAGCTTCCCCACTGCGCCGAATGCTGCTGCTCTCGTCCCTCTCACATGCTTTCTCCATCAGCTCCGCTGGCCGCCCATCGGCGCGCTCCTCGCCCATGATGGCGGAAATGGCCAACGGCAAGATGGAATTTGATAATGTCGCGCGGGAGTGGCGGTGCAAATGGCAGGACGACGGTGGTGGCAAGGCCTCGTCCGCCACCCTCGTCGCGATCGCAGATGTCGTGGACGAGTTCCTGCCGCAGCTCAAGGCTCTCGACGGCGCGGTTGTCAACCGCGCCGTCTGTGGCGGGTGTCTCGACTTCAAGCTCTGCACGACCGTGCCTCTCGCCACCTTTGGCCCGTGGGAGGAGGCTGGGCACCCCCCCGAGGCTGACTTCCTGGCCAAGCTCGAGGCGATTCCAGGCGTGTCGATGGTCGAGACGCAGACCATGACCAACCAGGTGCTGTAGCGCCGGGGTTTTACTAGTCTGGATTGTCCAGCATGAGATTCGTCATATATCTCGCTCCGGCCTCCGTGGTGAGTCGCCGCCGTCTCGCTTAGCTTATCTCTGTTCTGGCATGTTTTGGGAATCACAACCACGACGAAGCTAAATGATCATTCGGTCGGCCCTGGGAGGCTGAGTGGACAGTGGTGGAGGAGCAGGCTCGGGCTGTATCGGCGGCAGCAGCCGCGCGCGCGCATAAGCGTCCACCAGCAGAGCGCGGCTTTCCCCGCGGAACTCGCCCTCGCGCGCCGCCGCCGCCGCCGCCACGCTACTCAGCAGCTGCTCTGCCGCCGCGCTGCCGCCTCTGCCGCCGGCCGCGGGCCAGCGCGACGCGGCTTGCGCCAGCCGCGCGAGGTTATACGCCTTGTACCTGTCGAGCCGTGGGAGGGCGACGCGGGCGAGGGACTCGAGCAGCGGCGCCGAGTCGACAGCAACCACACCCCGTGACGGCACCAGTGCGGCGGCGCCGCCCTCGCCGCCGCCAGCGGAGCCAGAGGGCAGCCGTGTGCAGTACACCTCCGCGAGCAAGGCAACCTCCGCAGGCTTGAGCTGCCACGGCCGCACGCGCAGCTCGTCCGCGATGGCCCGCAGCAGCGACTGCTGCGCCGCGCTCTCCGCCGCGCTAGCGCCGCCGCCGCCGCCCGCACTGCCGCTGCCGCCTCCGCCGCCAGCACCGTCCCTTCCGGCGGCGGCAGCACGAGGCGGCGGCGTCGAACCGTACGTGCAGGCGAGCGAGACGAGGTGGGAGGCGCGCGCGGCGGGCACCTTTGGCACCGCCGCCGCAGCGAGGTGCCCCAGCAGCGCAGACCGGTCCTCCGAGGCCGCCGCCCCGCGCGCGAGCGCAGAGGCGAACGCCGCGATGCACTCGAGGCGGACTTCGTCCACGACGGGGCGGCCGCGCACGAGAAGGATGGCCCCGCCGCGCCGCGCGCCCGCCTCTCTCCGGAGCGAGCGCGCCACCACCGGCGCCGCCGCCTCGAGGTAGCGCTGCGACGAGTGGCCTGCGTTGACGAGCGCCTCGGCGACAGAGGCGCACTCGTCGCACTCACTCAGCGGGGCGCTCTCGACGGAACGGCGCTCGATTGCATCCCACAGCTCGTTCCACGGAGGCTCCGATCGCACGCCAGCCGCCACGAGCGCCGAGGCGAGCGCTGCGCGCCTGCCGGCCTCGATGTCCTCGCTCTGCTCGACAAGCTCCGCGGTGTGTGCTGCAAGCGGCTCGAGAAAGGGCAAGTTTTCGTCGAGCCACGCTCGCTCGGCAGGCCGCCGCCGCAACCGCGCCAGCCGGCTCCACGCAACGGGCGCGTGCGAGAAGTCCATCTCTGGCGCGAAGCGGCGCCGCGTCTCGAGCAGCTCTGGCAGTGTGCGTGCCGTTGCTAGCCGTGTCGCCAGCTGCGCGGGATCGATCCAGCCGGAGGAGGGCCGGCGACGCACGGCCGCCCGCCTCATGCGCTCACTCGCCATCTTACCAACGTGTCGGAACGCCGGCGCACCCATATCGGGCGCCGGAGCCGAGGCCAGCGGGCAAACGCACAGGGCGGAAGCGAGGACGGCGGAGTGGATTATTTTTGCTTCGCGAGCGCCTGTTCACGTAAACGCACTACCCCGGGCCCGAAATCGCACAGCGCCTGTTCACATAAACGCACAACCCCGGGCCCCGAAATAGCGCCTGTTCACAGACTACCTTGTTATTGACAAGAAAATACGTCCTATGGCGCTTTGCGCTGGTCTGTGTGCTGTGTGAGGTTGAGGTGCGAGCCATGGAGGCCCTGGGGATGGGGGGAGACTACCCGCGGGCCTAGAAGGCCCGCGCGCAGGGGGGTGGTGGGACATTGAGATTGAAGGCGGAGGTGGAGGCGGCGGAGGCTCTGGCTGTCACCGAGGGCAAACCACCGGAGCGCTCCGAGTACGACCTCGGTGAGCACGGGCAGAAAGCATATCGTCGGCACCGCGCGCGGTGGTACAGGGAGCACACATGCAAGGAGCTCACCGGCAGCCTTGAGGAGCAGAATGAGCAGTGGAACAACTACACGCGCAACTTCCGCGCACGTGGCGATAGTGCTCCGCTCGAGAGGCGGCATGTTACTGAACCACTCTGGGATTATTAGGATTGATATGTGTAGATAAAAACTCCTTTTTCCCCACAAAGTACCCTGCACAAAGATCCCCCTCCCACCCCCTTCTGCCCCGCAGGTCCACTTCTCGACAGGGTCATCGCCACGCGAGCACAAAGACAACCAATTCAGCGCCAACAAATTCACGCCACGCGAGACTGCACTCCAAGTGCGAGGAGGGAAACCGACGGGAAGCAGACCGGAAAACAAATACGGCGCGCGTGCGCGCCAGGTCTGCTAGTTTGGCGAATATCTCCAATGAGCGATAATGCGCGATACGATACCATAGGAGCTAGGCGAGGACGCAAGACCATCCTAAAGGCCGAAAGAGAGGTCGCCAAACGCCGATGTTGAAAGTGTGCACGTCCACGGTAGAGAGCACTCTGTACTGCGCAGACAGCCCGCCTCTGTTCGAGCAGAACCTCACTGGCCGCCTGAGCTGCGTGCATGCGTGCGAAGCCGACGCTTCTTGCCGCTTTGCCTCCACGTGGTCTAGCGGCTGGTGCCGGCTGTCAGCGAGTTGTGAGAAGCGCTGGCTGGAGCCACATGGCGAGTCGGTGGCAATCTCTTCCTGCACAGAGCCCCTACTACAGTCGGACAGGCGGCTGGACAGCGAGGGCTCGAGCTCGATGACTCGCAATCGCATCCAAAACATATTCTCTCCCCCACCGCCATCGCCGCCTCTGGCGTGCGCTGCCCATTGCACCTTCCTGACTCATACCTGGGCCGACAAGTGCGCGTGGGTGATGTGCACCGAGTGTGTGCCGTGTGGGCAGCTGGTGGCAGCATCGCCTCCTCCGCCGCCCCCGCCTCTGCCGCCGCCACCCCCATCTCTGTCACCGCCACCGCCGCCTCTGGCGTGCGCTGCCCAGTGCACCTTCCTGACTAACGCCTGGGTCGGCAAGTGCGCGTGGGCGACGTGCTCCGGATGTGTGCCATGTCGGCAGCAGGTGGCAGCATCGCCTCCTCCGCCGCCCCCGCCTCTGCCGCCGCCACCCCCATCTCTGTCACCGCCACCGCCGCCTCTGGCGTGCGCTGCCCAGTGCACCTTCCTGACTAACGCCTGGGTCGGCAAGTGCGCGTGGGCGACGTGCTCCGGATGTGTGCCATGTCGGCAGCAGGTGGCAGCATCGCCTCCTCCGCCGCCCCCGCCTCTGCCGCCGCCGCCGCCGCCTCTGGCATCGCCACCGCCGCCTCTGGCGTGCGCTGCCCATTGCACCTTCCTGACTCACGCCTGGGTCGACAAGTGCGCGTGGGTGATGTGCACCGAGTGTGTGCCGTGTCGGGGACTGGTGCCGGCATCGCCTCCACCGCCGCCGCCGCCGTCGCCTTTGCCGCCGCCGCCGCCGCCTCTGGCATCGCCACCGCCACCTTTGGTGTGCGCTGCCCACTGCACCTTCCTGACTCACGCCTGGGTCGACAAGTGCGCGTGGGCGATGTGCACCGAGTGTGAGCCGTGTGGGCAGCGGGTGATAGCGCCTACACCGCCTCCGCCACCCCCACCTCTGGCGCCGCCCTCACCACCAGCGATCGTTAGCTTCCCTGCAGAAGGCGCGCTCATTCTTGCAGGCGGCGACGGAGTGCGGGGGTCCGAGGGCTGCGTGCACGAGCCCGACGCCACAAACTTTAGCGGCGTGCCTATCGCCGGGCAGTGCTGCACTCGCGAAGGAAACTGCAAGCGCAGCACGAGCAGGAGCAACGACGACTGTATCTTTGGCGCGTTCGGGACGCCCGCCTATCGTCAGACGACGTGGATAGAGGCAGCACGAAAGTGCGAATCCGAGGGTCTCGTCCTGTGCGACAAGGGCTGCAAGAACACTGGGTGCGGGTACCACGCTGTCTGGGTGTGGACGCGGCGTCGCTGCCCCATCCCGCCACCGCAGTCGCCACCATCGCAACCGCCGCCGCCCTCCCCGCGGCCACCACCCTCGCCGTCGCCCTTGCCGTGCTCACCCGCGCCGCCAGCGCTAGAAGACTTTGAAGTGAAGCTCGGGCTGACGGCCGAACTTGTGGACGAGTCTCGGGGCGGCCGCTTTGCCAAGCTCGTTAAGCTGCTCCCAGCGGTCAACAAGGAGCTTCGCTACCTTGGTACTGCTCCTCTCAACTCTAGCCCTTCTCGATTCCTGTCGTCTCTGTAGCCTTCCGCTCCCTCGCTCTAGCAAAAGGCACGAGGCCGCCGCACCGCAACGCTCGCAGGCACAGCTATCCCCGACAGCGGACTCCTGAACGACGTCAACTACGTGGAGTACTTGCTGCGCGAATTCAACGCGGCTACTCCTGGCAACCAGATGAAGTGGGGCCGGATGGAGCGCGCGCGGGGCGAGATAGACTGGGCCCAAGCGGACCAGTTCGTCGAGTTTTGCCAGCTCCACAGGTTGCGGATTAAGGGGCACGCGCTCGTGTGGCACACTCAGATGCCAAGCTGGGTGGACGACGCGCTGCCCGCTTGGCAGCTACGCGCAGCGCTGCTCAACCGCGTCACTACGCTCGTCTCGCGCTACAAGGGCATTGTCCGCGCGTGGGACGTCATGAACGAGGCGACGGCCGACAAGACGTCGGTGCTGAATGGCGAGGCCGTCGAGGGGCTCTACCGCCCGACGATCATCATGAAGAAGCTCGGCCCGGGGATCATCGACGACCTGTTCCGGGCCGCCCACGCCGCTGATCCGGACGCCGATCTCATCTACAATGAGTACAATGTCCTCAAGGGGGGTGCAAAGGCGGACCGGATGTACACTATCGTGCAAGGGCTGCTGCAGCGGGGGGTGCCGGTGCACACGGTCGGCTTCGAGGGGCACGTCTTGGGCAAAGAGATCTATCCGAAGACGGAGGCGGTGCGCGGCAGGATCAAGCGCAGCCTCAAGCGCTTTGCAGACCTCGGCGTCAAGGTCACGCTGTCCGAGATAGACATGCGCGTGAGGGACTGGCCCGAGGCGGTGCGTATGGAGAACCAGCGCGAGGCCTACCGTGCCCTCATGGCGGAAGCCCTGATCTCGCCGTACGTTGAGGGGCTCACCTTTTGGGGGTTCACTGACAAGTTCTCGTGGATCCACGGCTGGTTTGGAGAAGACGACCCGTTGCTTTTCGACCGCGAGTATGGCCTCAAGCCAGCGTATCATGGGTGCTGCGACGGGGTGGTGGACGCGCTGCGGACCTACCCGTGCCTACCCACGTGCATGAGAAGGGCATCTCGAGGACGATTCGAGGATGCGAGCTCCAACTTCAATTGTAGCGGCTCCGTCATCACCACTAGCACCGGCTGGAACAACGGCGGACTCTGCAGGGGCTGCTCGAGGTGCATTGCCGAACGAAAAGAGACGTGGGAGATGGAGGATTGCTTTGGCAACAGCGCGAGGTGTACCACGTGGAGGGCGCAGCAAGACGAAGGCGAGAACCCATGCTGAGATCCCCGTCTCGGTCTGTCCCAGTCGCGCGCCGCACGCCCTGCCGTGCGCGGGGCCATGCCGTGTACATCACCGTGTGCGCGTTCGAGTCGTGCATGTAAGTTGCTGGCATACGTTCATAGGTAGGTAGGGACACAGCAGAATATGACGAAACATACTTTCACGAGAATGATATAAAAGGGGTTAGACTGATAAAAAAGAGACTTGAGAGACTTGAGAGCGACGTGTGAGAGAGAGAGAGACGTCGCTCAGATATTAATATATATCGCATGGCGCATGTCGCATGGCGCATATCGATATGTGTGTGACACACAGCGGTGTGTGCGCGCGTCAACGCCGCGCTCTCTCCGCGGCGGCTGGCTCCCCCCCGTGACCCCACAGAGGAACACGGTTCGTACAGGATCGAGCGGGGGTGCACGCCGCTGGGGCGGGGCGAGCGAGCTGCGAGGGCGACCCCAGAGGGTCGTGTGTCAGGAGTTTGACCCTGTGTTGGGCCGTAACGTATTTATTTAATAATGTGACAGACTCGTGAGTCGTGTGAGAGAGTTCTTACGGCGGGAAGAGCGCGCACAACTGTCGCTCCGCCGCCTCGAATAGCGTGAACTTGAGCGACTCCTCGACGCAGACGCGGCAGATGCGAGGCCCGACGCCGAGGAAGAGGCCGGGCAATCCTCCGCTCCGGAGAATGGCGCGGGCACACGCGAGGGAGGAGCTGTACCGCCTCGCGTCCAGCGACATCATGTTTGCGCGCACAACGTCGATCGGCTGGCTGAGCACCGCTGACACGCCGCCCGCGGTGCCGCCTGCCACCAGACTCTCCCAGATTGCAATTGGCCCTTCAGGTCGGCCGGGGCGGGAGCGCAATCTCTCGGCCATCTCGCCGTAGCCAACGAAGCGGATGCCTACTCAGTGAGACGACTGCCGTGGGGAGACGGCCTCCAGCCGCCAGCCTCTCCTGCGGCGGCGGACGCCCGCGCAGAAGGAGACCTTTGCCACGGTGGGCCACAGGCCAGAGAAGAAGCCGTGCCTATACTCGCACGGGCGGGACTCGCACCTCTCGCCTCTAGCCGCTGGAGGGGACGGCCGCGCGCCAGACGCCAAACTCGGCCGCAATCTGACGCGTAGCGTGGAGCACGTGCCTGCGGTGGCGTGGGGAGGCGCTGTCTGTCTGCGTATACCGCTCTTTGCGTGCCAACTCGGGCCGCCGCCCAGCCTGTACTGCCGCGGCCCTCTGGGCGACTGGTCGTGCACCATCTTGACGGCGATCGCATTGCTCGGCGTCTGGCACAGCGCGCCGTCCGCCGCGCCAGCCAGCACGCCGCAGCCGAGGTCGGAGAGCCTCTTGCCGCCAGGCGTCTCTCGCAGCTGCTGGCTCCGAGCCGTTATTCGCAGCCGCTCAAAGGTGGTGAAGCGCACGACCGCACGCAGGGGAGAGAAGATGACGAAGCTGGCGCCGCCGCTGTACAGGCCGAGGAGGCCAGCGGTTCGGAAGGTTCGCTGCACGACGTCGAGTGGGCCAGTGTAGGCGCTGCTGCCAGCGTAGAGCGCCGAGGAGCGGATCTGAAGCTGAAGCTGCGTTTTGACGTACTCGAACGGAAAGGTGGCGAAGTTCTCGAGCGTGCCCGCAATGGCGGCGGCGGCGACGGGGAAGCGCTTGTGCTCGGTGGTCATTATGTGTATACTAGTGGGGGACTGCGGCGGACCCGCCTCTGTTGTTCGGGCAGTGAGAGACGCAGGATCTGCAAGCCATGGCTTGACCCCAGTTGGGCCACGGTGACTAGGTGTGAATGGGGGAGTTCGGTATTCACAGTCGTTTACACTGAGGGAGCAATGGCTATTATTATTCGGGTTGCTTTGCCGTCATCATTCAGGGCGGCGTCCTACCATGGCGGCTCAAGTCAATTATTAATATTGCTGGTGTCCGCCGTGCGAGGCGCCGTTCCACTTCGGCGCCGCCGGTCTGGCGCGGTTTCCTATTTGCAATTATTGCACGCCGCGCCGCCGTTGGGCGAACTTATCGGCAGCAACTTATTGGCGCGGTTTTCGCGATGTCTCTCTTAGCTCTGGGTCGCAATGGGCGATCCCAGGCGGGAGCAGAGGCCAGTGGCCTCGATTCTCTGATGGGCTGGGCCTACACTACGATCGAGTTCACGTTATTCCTCTGGTCGATCGCCGTGGGCCTCGCTTATGACGGTCTTGCAGCCCTTCTCACTAGCCGGGTCTACCGTGCCGGGGCTGGAGCAGTCCTCCTCTACCTGCTGGGTACCACCCTGATTGAGCTGGTGACAAGCGGTGACGGGGGACCTGAGCTCCTCTTCTTCCTCAGGATGGCCGTCTTCGTCTACTGTGTCGGCTATCAGGTTCGCGCACTCTGTGACTACACCCCTGTCCGCGTCCTCCTCCTCCTCAGTGGAGGGTACCCCTTGTTCCGCCACGGGGTGGCGGCGATTGCCGAGCCGTTCCGGGACTACGCGGCGATGGGCCCTTATGCAGGTGTGCTCCTCACCTTCTCCGCCATCTACCTCGCCACGCGCTCCATGGGGCGGCACGTTGGCTACTTCATGGACACGTACATCAAGACGTACGTGCTTGAGACCCGGATCGATTCCCTGCTCCGCCGAGTCCGTGGAGGCGGTGCTCATGCTGACGAGCCTTCAGAAGAGTCGGTCTCCCTCCTCCACGCCTATCTCCGAGCCCGCGGTGGCCTGCTTTGCACGCTTTCCGTCGCCGTTTACCAGTACGGCCTTGTCATGATCCCGGCGCGGTTTCCTATTTGCAATTATTGCACGCCGCGCCGCCGTTGGGCGAACTTATCGGCAGCAACTTATTGGCGCGGTTTTCGCGATGTCTCTCTTAGCTCTGGGTCGCAATGGGCGATCCCAGGCGGGAGCAGAGGCCAGTGGCCTCGATTCTCTGATCCCACCCTCCTCCCATATCCCCTTCTTAGTTTCACGGAGAGGGGTAGAGTGCGAATTCCGCAATGTGTGCCATGTATTGCGTCCTCGCGATTGTAACATGCGGATATAACCAAACGACCCTGTTCACAACCGCAAGTTACAACTGCGCATTTTCATTTTCATTTTACTCTCGTGAGCTGTGAACAGACGCACTTGCCTTCGGGGGCAAGTACCCAAATCCGCTAGGTTGGGCGTGCTTTCACAGCCTCACGAGAGTAATTTTCATTTTGGTTTAGGGTTGTCGGAGATCATCCATCAGCACTCATAAGTCAGTCAAAGCAGTCGTGGCACGTGAGCAGAGTCGCTGCATGCAACGACTGACTTATCGCGCAAACACGATCGGCCATCGCACCCACCGCAAACACCTCGCCGCACAGATGGGGGGAGGCATAATCCCACACACACCGGAGCAGCGCAGACACCTTACACGTCAGCGCTCGCTCGATGTGGCCGGCGCTCTCCCCTCTCCTATCGCCTTTTCAACGGCGGCGTGCGGCCACGCGCCGCGCCGAGCCGGTCTCGGCGGGAGACCTCGGAGCCGCACGCGATGCGGGCATGCGCGATGGATGGCTCCGTTGGCTCCGTGCCTAAGGCAGATAGATTAGGGTGTGAGCTGCGGCAGCCACCGTTTCTGTACCTCGATCACGTGCAGGCCGTCGGAGGCCGCGCTGGATGGCCCAGGGCCGGCGGCGGTGAAGGCGTCCGTCGATGAAGGGATGTCCTCGAGGGAGCCATCGTCCTACGCGGCTGGTGCACCGGTCCAGTTGTCGGAGTTCGAGATCGCCGTCGACTTGGAGAGTTCGGCCCGTTGACGAACTCACGGAATGTGAGCGACTTGGTGCACGCTGATAGTCGAGCATCATGGCTCGCACCTCATCCTGAGCGCAAGGAAGGAACTCGCCCAGGGGCCAGCTGTTGGCGTCGCCGTTTTGATCGAGCTGCATCCACTGCATGGTTTCGTAGTCAAGCGTAAACGCCCAGGAGTTGGTGCCTGGAGGTGACTTGCTGATGAGAGCGCCTTCCAGGCGGGTAGTCGTGCCCCTCACCTAAGGTCATACGGCGGCGTCAGGGGGGGGGAAGGGGCGCGAAGCGTGAACATGGAGGCAAGCAGGTGGTGGCTGCACCTGGCCAAAGCCGGCGACCAAAGTTGTCGTAGGTTGTGCGGGTATCGCTGAGCGTGAGAGGGACTGGATCGTTATGTGTATACATGCGCTTTTCTTCTTTTCAATTTCATGAAGAGGTGGCGAAACCTGTCCGAGGAGGCCACCGGCCAAAAGCGCATGTCTTGAAGGTCCGATACTGGAAGCCCATATAGGCACCTTACAAAACCCAAAGCATTCAGGTGTATTCTTTTTTTGCTTGGCCGTACGTCATGCCGGGGTAGGTACTGAGGGAGGGTGTAGAGGATGTAGAGTGTAGAGCGCTGTAGAGCTGTAGAGATGTAGAGCGCTCTGGAGCGCTGTAGAGCGCTGTAGAGCTGTAGAGCTCTACATCCGCCGCGGGACGAACTGCGTGCGTTGTAGAGCGATGTAGAGGCGCTCTACAACGTGAAATCTCTACAACAAACTCTACATCAAAAGCGAACGAGGCACGGTCGCTCTCCGACATGAGGCGCGTTGCACTCGCCAGTGCTGCCCTGGCCTTCTGTCTGCCCGCCCAATGGGTGGCAGGTGCCTCTGCTGCTGTGGCATGCCTCACGGCTGCGACTGGCCGGCGCCTCGGCGCGTCAGCTCGGCTCGGCGTAGCGATAGTGGCCAGCGCAACTCGCCTGGACTCAACGCTCAGCCAGGAGCTCCCGCACACGCTGGCGCGAGTCATGGCGCATGCAACGCGTCTGAATGCTCGCCTCGCCTTGCGCAAATGCGACCGTCCTCGCCGCCGACAGTCCACCGCCTGCTAAAGAAGCACTGCGACGAATGCGGCACCGGCGACGCATGGCAGGCGGTGATGACGCAGTTATGGGGTGTTGTGTGCCATCAGAGTGACTCTCTGTGTGTCAGGGATAGTCAGGGCCGTCCATCAGAGCTCCAGTAAGCTCGGAGACACCCCATTAGTGCGACTCGACCTCTTTGAGTCACTGCCTTCCCGGCGGGTTGGCTGTAGAGCCTCTACAACAAACTCTACAACAAAATCGCGCTCTACATCGCTCTACAACGCACGCAGTTCGTCCCGTGCCCGATGTAGAGCTCTACAGCTCTACAGCGCTCCAGAGCGCTCTACATCTCTACAGCTCTACAGCGCTCTACACTCTACCATCCTCTACACCCTCCCTCAGGGTAGGTAGGGTAGGTCTGGGCCCTCCCGTCGGGTTTTTCCCTCTCTTCACGCTGGAATTTTCACAGCAGAAAAAGAAATTTTCCGCGAAAATCACGATGTCAACCCTCCCCAAATGGGTGATCTGGTGCTTGTAGGGCTTGAGAGTGGCCTGCCATGTCACAGGAAGGACTGTGGTTGCAGGAGAGTACCACCAACCATCACTTTAGTTGGTATGGTACCCCACCTTCACCCATCGAGTGATTTATTTTTTAGTTTCCCATAAGTAGGGTAGGTAGGTAGGTAGGTAGGCAGGGGCAAAACAGGTCAAACTCCAAGCAAAAAAAGAATACACTCGCCCGCATTGGCCGTTTCTAAGGCCACCTCTGCCTCGATCGCCGGCCTCCGAACCGCTCGCTCCCCACGAACCCAAGAACGCAATGTCCGACGATGAAGAAGAGCTCGTCGATCTGCCGGACTTTGCCAACGCGGCCAACCGCGCGCTCTACGCCGATCTCAAGGACGCGGAGCGGGCGCTCGCTGCGACCGAGGAGGAGCTGGCCGAGACGGGCGAGCGAGTGTCTGTGATGGAGGGTCACCTTGGCTCGGTGGTGGCGGAGCGGCAGAACACGCAGCGGCTGGTGGATGCCAAGGCGAAGGAGGTCGAGACCGAAGACCACCTCAAGCAGCTCGCCGATAGGGAGCTCGGCCGCTTCAGCTCGGAGCTCTCAAAGCTGCAGCGCGAGTGCGCGGATCTGACAGACAAGGCGCCGCGCTCGCCCACCCTGCGCTCACACAGCCAGCGCGGTCGTCGCCACCCCGCCCCAGAGAGTCGCGCGCACCCGCGATCCGCTGCTCGCGGCGGAGGTGGTGGCAAGAGGCGGCGGTGCGGGATGGGGATGGGGGAGCACTCCGCTGAGCGGCGGCGGCGCCTGCCCGCGGCGCAGGCGACGGCGGCGCAGACTCAGATCTTCAAGGGGAACGAGCGGATGGACGCCTTCAAGCTCCAGATGAACTGGAAGCAAGAGGCGCACCACGCACCCGAGCCCGCCGCGCCGCGCCGCCCCGCTCGCCGACGCCTTCCGTCTCCGAAGGCGCCCGCCGCCGCTCTCGCCCCTCGCACCTCCCGCCCCGCCCGCCCCTCGGCGTGCAGGAGCTCGAGCAGTGGGCGCTCGCGGCGCGCCAGAAAGAGGAGGACAACCTCGCCATGCTCAAGTACGCAAAGGCGCGCATGTGTCGCCTCGAGGGAGAGGAGGAGGGGAGAGGCTGAGGAGGAGGGGAGAGGCGCAGCGTTGCGGGAGGGCGGGCCGCCCACCTCCTCCCCTCTCTGGCGTCAGGCGGACGAGTCGCGCCTCAAGTCGCTCAACCTGCAGCTCGAAAAGACGCTGGCGCAGGCGCGGGCGGCCCTCGGAGCCGACTCCCGCCGGGAGCCGCCCCCTCTCGAGCCTTCCCCTCCGGCGACGCGTGCCCGCAGGTGGCGGAGCGGCAGGCGGAGCTGGAGGCGGAGGTGACCAAGACGTCGGTGCAGCAAGTCGAGCTCGACCGCACCGCCGACGACTACCGCGCGCTGCAGCGCGAGCGGCGCGGCCTTTTCCTCCAGAGCCATTCGGGGGGGAAAGCCTGGCCTAACCCCTCCCCCCCCCCCCCCCCCGCCCCGCGGTGACTGGCCAGGCGAGAGCTGGTCGAGCAGTGGGAGATGTCGGTCGCGGCGATGCAGAAGCGCGACGAGGCGCGCACGCGCACGCGCAGCACTCACCGCGCTTCCCACGCACCTCTGCCCCACTCCCTCGGCCCTTCCTGGACCCTCCCTAGACCCCTAAAGCACCTCGGACGGCGCCTCGCGCCCTCGCAGGACATCTCCCGCGCGCACGAGGAGTACGCGTCCGCCAAGCGCGAGCTCGAGGCGCAGCAGGATGCGCTCGCGCAAAAGGAGAGCGAGCTCGAGGCGCGGCAGAAGAGCAACGCGGACCTGCGCCACGGCGCGTCAGCCTAGGCTCACCCTGGGCTCATCACATCTCTTATCACATCTCTCCAGACCACCACGTCCGAGAGACAAGCACGTCCACGTCTGCGCTTGCCGAGAGACGGCGCCGCGCGCGAGCAGAGGCGCAGGCGGGTGCGAACCTTCGCGGAGCCTTCCTGCAGGCATCGCCTCTGCGGAGCGCGCGGTCGGCCGCCGGCGCGAGGAGCAGCGCGCCGCTGCGGAGGCGACGGAGAGCGTGCAGGAGCAGGTGGCCCAGGCGCGCGTCGCGATGGGCGAGGCGGCCGCGGAGCGGGTGGTTCGCAGCCCCCTCTGAGCCCTCCGCTGAGCCCTCTCCGAGCGCGCTGCTGTAGGCGGCCGCGGAGAGGGACAGGCGGCGCGCGCAGATCCGAGGCGCGGAGGAGAGCCTCGAGGAGCGCCGGGCGGCGCTCGAGGCTGCAAAGGCCAAGCTAGCGGCGGCGGAGGAGGCTGCGAGCCGCTCGAGCGACAACCTCGGCTCGCTCGAGGCGCCCCGGGCCTTCCTAGACCCTCCCTCGCCCTGCCCAGACCCTCCCTCACCCTGCCCAGTCCCCTCCCTCGCCCTGCCAAGACTCCTCCCAGACCCAGGCTCGCTCGAGGCGCCCCACCCACGCCTCCCCCGCGGGAGGCCTCCCCCGCCCCGGGGAGGCACGGCTGACGGCCGCCCCCCCCTCGCGGCGAGCAGGCGGCCTCCAGGCAGATGGACGAGCTCCACGCCCGGGAGGGGGCGCGGCTCAAGGAGCGCGCAAAGGCGGCTGGCGCGCTGCGGGAGGCGCTGTACGCGGAGACGGCGCGGCTCCAAGCGGCGAGGCAGGCAGAGGCGAGGCTCGCCGCCGACATCGCGGGCGCAGAGCGGCTGCTTCGCAACTCACGGCGAGCGAGGCGGCGGACGCGGCTGGCGCAGCAGCTCGCGCCTCACCGCCACCCTGCGCGTGTGTGTGAGCAGGTACCGGGTGGGGCAGCTCGACGAGAAGGCGCAGCGGCAGAGGGAGGTGCGAGCTTGGCCTTGTGCCCCCCCCCCCCCC